ATTAGGCTTGATGGGAAACTTCTTTTAAACTTCAAATAAGTCCAGAAAGGGGAGAAAGGGAATTAAGGCCTATCGCTCATTTACACATCAAACCAACCGCATTAAATAACGTTACACTTATAATATATGGCTGAAATGACCTACACCGAAAGAATAAGAGATTTGGGGAGTGGAGGGATAAAAAAGGAAAAGGAGGAGGCAACTTTGTAACAGAGAACATTTTGGAGGATATGTAAGGATTTGGGAAATGAGAATACTGGTAGTCATTGTAAAGGACAAGAAGTAAGAAGAATACAAAAAGGGAGGTAAAAAGGTTATAAAAGGAACTTCATTTATTCAAAATCTTGATGTTACTGTGGTTGTTGAGTTGTTTCAGTCTTGTCCAACTCTTCGTGATCCCATTTGGGGTTTTCTTTGCAAAGATACTGGAGTGGTTTGACATTTCCTTCTCCACCTTATTTGACAGATGAAGAAACTGAAGCAAACAAGGTTAAGTGACTTGCCCTGGGTCACACAGCTGCTAAGTATCTGAGGTTAGACTTGAACTCGGGTTTTCCTGACAATAGAGGCATGCTGTACTATCCACCATACCACCCAGCATTCAAAATCTTGCTGAGAGTCAATCCTGAACCCACTCAAAGGGGAGGACACTCTTGTCTTCCTACTACTTACAACAAAAGCTCCTATGTCACAGAACTTGAAACTAGTATTATTGGTTTAGCCACATAATTAAATAGACTCTTATGGGCTACCCTGAAAACCAACTCACTCTAACACAAAAGATTCCAAATCATAAATAAATTTAAAATTTTAGAACTGTAACTCAATTAAGTTTGAGATTGTCCACATGTATACTCTGATACCACTGTTAATGAAGAGGATGCATTCCATTAATACTCCTTTGTAAAAAAAATTTCACAACTAGTAGTAGAAATAATATAAAAGGCATTGTTGTTGTTCAGTCATGTCCAACTTTTTGTGACCCCATTTAAGGTTTTCTTGGCAAAGATAGTGGAGTAGTTTGCCATTTCCTTATCCAGCTCATTTGAAACATCAGGAAACTGAGGGAAACAAGGTTAAGTAACTTGCCACACAGCTAGTAAGTGTCTGAACAGGAATTGAACTCAGATCCTCCTGACTGTAGGCCCGCATTCTATCCATTGCACCACCTAGCTGCCCCTAAAAGGCATAGTGATACATTACAGGGCACCTAATAAGGAGACTTTAAGGTACTAAAATTACTAAATGCTAACCCTAAATCACATGGAAAACATTGGATAACACAAGTATCTAAGAGTCTTGGGGCAAAGGTGGAGAAAGTTAGAGGATAGTTCAATTTAAAAGAGACAGAGTAAAGAGGGTAGTAAATGTTTAAAATGTTTTCTTCCTTGAAAAGGTCATCTACAATAGGTACCTCTACTTTCTCTCCTCCCACTCTCTTACAATCCAGCTTCTGACCCCATCATTCCACCAAAAGTGCTCTCTCCACAGTTACCAATGATCTTTTAATTGCCAAATCCAATGTCCTTTTCTCGATTCTCATTCTTCCTGACCTCTCTGCAGGCTCTAACACTCTTGATCACTTTCCCTCTTCTCCTTGATACTCTCTTCTCTCTCAGTTTTCAGAACACCACTCTCTCCTGGTTCTCCTCTACCTATCAAGACTACTCTTCAGTCTCCTTTGCTGAATTCTCATCTAGCTCACACTCCCTAACCACTGATATTACTCAGGGTTCTGTCCTGGGTCCTTTTCAACCTATTCTACTTCACTTGGTTGATTTCATCAGCTCCCATTGATTAATTATCATTTCTATGCTGATGACTCTCAAATCTATATATACTATCCTAACCTCCCTCCTGACCTCCAGTTTTGCATCCTTTCAGACATATCAAACTGGATGTCCAGTAGAAAGCTTAAACACAACACATACAAACTAAACGCATTATATCTTTCTCTACTAACCGTCCTCATTTTCTATCTTCCCTTTTACTGTCAAGGGTACCACCATCTTCCACTTCTCCCTAGGCTTGAAATCTTGGTGTCATCCTTGACTCACTCTCTACCCCACTCCCCTACACCCAATCTGTTGCCAAGGGCAGTTAATTTCACCTCTTTGATATCACTCACATATGCCCCCCTTTTCCTCTGACACTGCCACCACTATGGTGATGATCCCCATCAACTCAAGCATGGACTATTACAATAGCCTGCTAGTAGGTCTGCCTGCCTCAAATCTCTCCCCATTCTCCATTTAGCCAACAAAGTGATTTTCCTAAAGCACAAGACTAACTATGTCATTTCCCTATGTAATAAATTTCAGTGGCCCCTATCACTTTCAGGATCAACTACAAAATCCTTTGATGTTCAAAGCCCTTCAGAACCTACCCCACCTCCATCTTTCCAGTCTTCCTATACCTTATTTCCCCCTCACATACTCTTTGATCCAGTGACAATGGCCTTCTTGCTGTTCCATGAACAAAGCACTCTCTCTCTCTCAGCTCTGGGCATTTTCTCTGCCTCTCTCTCCTGAATCTGGAGTGCTCTCCCTCCTCATCTCCACCTCCTGGTTTCTCCACCTTACATCAAATGTCAAATAAAATCCTATCTTTTACAGTAAGCCTTTCCTAATCCCTCTTAATTCTAGTGCCTTCCCCTCTGTTAACTACTTCCTATTTATCTCATATAAATCTTATTTGTGCATATTTGTTTTCTTGTTCTCTCCCCCATTAGAATGTGAGCTTCTTGAGGGCAAGGATTGTCTTTTGCCTCTTTCTGTATCCCTAGTGCTTAGCACAGTACCTGGTATGTAATAAATACTTAATTACTGTTTATTGACTGACTAAAAGGAGAGGGACCTATCAGCAGGCAGATGTGTGAGGTCTGGTCAATATGGACCAAAGGCTCCTCCTACTATCAAGCAGCACCTTAGGCAAGGCTTTGAATGACTTCAACCAGTTTCCCCAGAAGAACAGCATATATACAAGTATATGCACACATCTTTGACCTTTGGGGGGGGGAGGGAGTGGCAGGCTTTGGGAAGGGGGAGGGTTTATTCTCTAGGTAATTTCAATTTTTTTTTAATAAGGAAAGAAATAAAAATCAATAAATCAACTCTTAGGACAAGTTTATCACAAAGCAGTCATTTCCATAATATTTCTCCACTAATCTCTCTATTAACAAGAAGTTAATTCAAGAGCTTATCTGATTCAAACAGATGAAAGTTTTTAGGACTAGGACTGCCACAATCTTAAAACTGCTTCACATAAAGAATGGGTTGTATCACTTACGCTGAAAAGTGCTAACAAAATTAGGTAGCAGAAGGCACGCTGCTCAAACCAAGAAACCACATTTTACATTATAAGTACATACTAAATTCAAGTCATCCTTGGAAATCTTCTAAAGATAACAAAATTATTCTTATAAAAGTTGATTCCTCGTAAATGAGCCCTAAATGCTGAAATCTATTACATCTATTTGGAAGCAAGAAGGAGCCTGCAAAACAACATGGAAAAAAGATGACAGTGTTATAAATCACTTACATCTTTACTCACTAATATTTCCCAATAAAACCAAATAGGAACACCTGTTTAAACGAAAAGAAATTAAATACCATGTCTAAAATATGCCTCACTGGTCCTGACCAAACAAATGGTTATAAAATAGGAGAGGTACATGAATTTACCAAATATACCTAATACTATGGAATTATCAAGAAGTGCCTCAAACTTCTAGAAATTGATAGTGAAATTATCTTTCACAACCACAGCTTTTGAGAAACTCTGTTTTAGCTAAACCTAAACCTAAAAATAATTGAGGCCCTAGTTCATACTAAATTAATATAAAAATCTAATCTGTGGTAACTGGTTTCAAGAGGGCCTGCTAAAGCTTACCTCAGGGGAACCTACTGCAGATATTGTCCCATTCACTTGTACAGTGTCCTTTCAGCTGCCTGCCAGTTGTCTCTGTGGAAGGGAAAGCCTGATGAGTCAGAGCCCTATGCCACACTCCTTTGGAGTTTGAGGATGCCTGTTTATTACTCCATAAAATGATCCAGGCAATAAAAGATCAGATGCTTTTGAATGCCACACAACATGAAGACGGCTTTTTCAGTACTCTCTCTCCCCTAAAGGCTAATACCAAATCTACAGATACTGAGTGCTGAAAAGCCTGTTGATACTCAATGTCAACACAATATAGCTACACTAACCCAAGAAAAACAAAGATTGGAATAGATCAAAGTCAGAAGGCAGTTACACTGATAAGGGAAAAATATGAAATGTATTAACTATTTAATGAAAGACTGCCAGATTGCCTTAAAATCTAGTGAGATGAAACTCCAAAGGATCAATCAACCAAAACTAAAAATGCGTTATCAACTAAATAAAGATACCTCAACACTTTCCAACACAAATGCTTTTTAAAAGATGCTATTAAGTACAGCATGCTCAAAATTGATCTATACCCCAACTCCAAATATGTGCTTATTCAATACATGTTTTCATGAGGGAAAGAAGAAGAGAAATTCTTTAGATTTTTAATTATATAAAAGAATGAACACTAATAGCAAAATCAAAAAAGAGGAATATCTGTGCCCCACAAAGGGAAGCATGCATGCATGCATGCACACAGAAGAAACAAATACTTTAGGATGAAACTAAGAAGGTTTAAGAATAAATATAAAGAAGAAATGTTGATATGTACTCAATGTTATTTGAAAAATCACCTTAACATCCTAAAATTATTCCTGACTAATAACTTTCTAATTCCAAGACCAAGACCATTTTAGATAGCCAATATTCAAGGTCACCTACACAGCTATCCAAATTATGATTTCTTTTAACTGCCAACTGGATAAGAATAAATTTTACTCTTTATAGTACATTTTATTTCAATGAACTTTAAGTATTAACCTTCAGGACAAGCATAATTAATGAAAAGAAAAATATCTACTTAACAAAGCTGATGCAGGTTTTTAATAAAATTAGACACAATTACATACCTCTGATTCCTTATCACTTAGAGATCCCAAGCTTCCAAAACTGTGATTAGAACTTTCGTTATTTGTTGAGGCCTGTTAAAGATAAGAAAAAAAACTTTAAGTTAAAAACTAGTTTAAAAAAAAAGAAGGCAAGAAAGCCTAATCATAGGTAAGCATAATGATAAGGGAAATGCGTTCAATTTGGCTATAAGTATTCAAATAATAAACTAAAAATAAAACTTCTATTAATATAAATCTTCAAGTACTATATAATTAATACTTTATTCTTCCTTTTCAAAGGAATGGGAACCATACTGCTGAATAGAAATGAAAAGAGAAACAAGTCATAAAAATCATTAAAAATGTCATATTAAACACGACAAAATAGTCTCATTCTCAAATTGGCATTATTTCACTTAAAATGTAAAAAACTGTATTTTGGAAAAGAACTTAAAAGAATGTCTACAAGTGTTGCTTTAAACCTAAAAGCTTTATTTAGGTAACAAGATGATACAGTCAATTCCTACTATAAACACATGAGCTGGGTTGTAAGTAGAATAGAAGAAAATGGAAATTATTCTCAGCCAGGATTCACTTATTTGTAAAGGTTAAAGCAGCAGATGAACCCCAAGACACAGCCCAGAAAAGAAGGTTTCAAAAAAGTATATAATGCTAGCAGATTCCAGGACCTCAGGTTAAAGCAGAAAGCATGAGTTAAGATCAAGGACAAGGGTCAGATCCCCTTAGAACAGCTACTAGAGACAAGATTGGAAAGCTGAACAGAACAGTAGAGTATTTATAAAATACACTCAATGAATACCTATTGAACAAATACATGTATACTTTAATCAAGGAGACAAGAAGACAGTAAGGCGAAATAGATTTTTAAAACTAATATAATTTCAACCCTGAGTTAGGGTAGCTCACTCTGGGAATCAAAAAGGACCTTCTTTCCTGGAGATTGAGGGGACACCAAGAAGATGAAAGGGGTAAGAAGAGTAAGTGAAAGTCAAACTGAATCTAAAGCAATTCAATCTGTGGTCATGTAGAAAAATAACCTCACTTTTAGACACCTCTTTCATTTATGCTTTTTGTCGGGGTGGGGGGGAGATTATCTGTTACTTGCCTAGTGCAAGAAGCCTGGTAGATAAAAGGATGGGACAGGGGACTAAGCTAAGGAAGTAAACTAGATAAATGACAATATTCTTTAAACTATACGTATCTTTGAAACCCCTCACCACTGGAATATTCTTGCTCACTCAGCACTGATTTATGTGGGCTGGCATTTTTAAAATGATGTTGAAAGAAAAATAAAAAAGATTTGATAATCAAGCTTTATAATGAAAGTTCCATAAGTGAACCAGTTGACGAATAACGCAATACCTTTTTACTTGAAAGATTCAAGGGATGACATCTAATTTGTATAATTCAGAATTTAGACTTATCCAAGTTAAGCTTGTCTATTTTCTTCACAATTTTGCAAAGTTCTATTATGACCCCTTAGCCTATATCTATAGATAGAACAGCTGTGATCTTTTTAGTCTGTGCTCAGATGAAAAGTACCTCCACCTCCTGATGATTTTAGTTTCTCTGCTCTGCACTTTCTCCATCTTCATTATGATATTTTAGAGGGTATGGCAAATGTCAATAAACCATGAAACTTTACACAAGGGTGGGACAATGTTTCATTTTGTTTCTGATCAGTTCTCTCCCAAAATCCTCCTCCAATGCCTCACTGTGGTATGGAGGCACCCCTGGGTTCTTGACACCATCATTTTTTTTAACTTCAAAAATATTTTATTTTTTCCCAATTACATGTAAAAACAATTTTAAATATTCATTTTAAAAAAAAACTTGGGAGTTCCAAATTCCCTCCCCCTTCTCTGAGATGGTAAACAATTTAATACAGGGCAAATATGCACAATCATGCAAAACATATTTCCATATTATGTCATGTTATAAAAGAAAACACAGACCAAAAAACACACAAAAAATTAAGTGAAAAATAGTATGCTTTGATCTTGTTATGCACCATCATAATGCATTTATGTAATAAAATTATCTTAGAAGGTCCCATCTCTTGATGGAATTCTATAAGCTCTAGTCTATAAGATCAATATCTTATCTTAACTTTGTATATACTCAGAGCAATATTACACATATATTAGAGGTGCTTAATTAATGTTTTTTTTTGGGGGGGGGGAATAGATAGCTAGATGGATAGAATGCCGGGCCTGGCGGCAGGAAGACTCATCTTCCTGAGTTCAAATCTGGCCTCAGACACTTAGTAGCTGTGTGACCCTGTTTGCCTTAGTTTCCTCATCTCATTTAGAGATGAATCCATGCTTGATCTCATTTTGCCAATCACTCTTCCCAAGGATATATCGTGTTCTTTCTTGTTCCCCATTTTTATCTATGGTATTCCCCCGTTCTAAATATCTTCCTTTCTAACCTCTACTTCTCAAGATCATACTCATTCTCTAAGATCCAGTTCCAAGTCCCATTACCTCCATGAAGCCTAGAGTGGTTTGTCTCTTTTCTAAAAATGTAAATCTCAACCACAGTTTAACATTTAATTTTTTTCCTGCAGTTCATATATATTGAGTGTGTCTTCCCAGATATATTCTTTGAGAAGGGTCCTTGACTTTAATATTATCTTTATGCCTAAAACCTAGCACAGCACAGCTCTACACAAATCGTACTCAATAATTACTGACTGATTAAACTGACTAAAAGTAGGAAAGGAACAAAAGCAAACTGAGATAGTAGCAATGTAATAGCACAGAGGAAAACAGGAGAATTCACTAAACCCAAGAAACATTAAGAATGCTTCATACTGCAAAGAAGCACCTTGATCCCAAGAACATTTCAATTACATGTGAATATGCTATTTTCAAGTCTTATCCACTAGAAGCTTCACTAAGTTGCTTCACAAGAGATGAGCATAAAATATAAAATAGTATCTCAAGAGCAAAGAGTATGTCATATCTATCAATACCTTCAATGTCTAGCAGAGTGCCTTAATATTTACTGAAATGAAATTAAAGAGATTGTTCCAAGAAATTAGTTAATACTTGTTGTTATATATTTGAATTAAGAGAGTCCTTGCTTTCAAAAAAGTTACAAGAAAATATAAAGCAAGCACAATAATAAAGCCAGACACAAAATCATTCTCATATATATTAACAGGTCGTAACTTCTTGCTACAAAATAAAGGGATCCTTTACAAACTACATTTAAATGATTCAATATAAATAAAAGTGTATTTATTAAAGCAACACTTGCCTTAGCTCCAACACTGCAACTTCCCGTGCTCCCAGTGCTTCCACTTACAACTCCTGTAAATCGAGCTTCCAATAATTCTTGCCTTCTTGGATCTAAGCTGTGAAGCTCATCCATTGCACCTATGGAAAATACATCCAGTGAGCTATGATTTGCCATTAATTAAATGAATGGTTCAAGTAAATGAAATACATACATACTAATCTTAAGAATGATATTATACAACAGCAACCCTCAGAAAATGGTATCTTGTCCTTCTATTACAAAAATGCTGCTTCTCTGAATTACTGTAGCACTTTTATGTGTCACTTATTTGGGTGTTTAATCACAAAATGCCTTGCCCTTCCATTATATGACTGTTTCAATTATGTGGATCTTCTTTCCCTAATTATACCTAAAGTATTAATGTCAACACCTTGTAAAAAGCCATCTCAGTGCCTAACAAAGGACTCTGCACACAGGTACTCAAAAGTTAGAATGAAAGAGAAGATGTTTCATGTTGAGAAGCCAAAGGTTCTTCAAATGTCATTCAACTGCCTTCAACTGTCATTTTAAGAACTGAATTATACAATTTTAAAAATCACACAAGATGTAGAAATTTAAAAAAAAACAATTTTAATTAAATTTTCTGAGAATCACTAGGGTGTGACTAAAAGTGGGAGAAACAGATAAAGTATTGTCCTGCAGATCTAGCTCACAACAAATTATTGGTCTATCTTCAAATAAGTTCTTGCTACTATTTGGCAATTCCTATATCCCTATTTTTTTTACTAACATCTGAAGAAAGCACCTTATTCTCACGTTAATTTCATATCAACTCCCCACATTATCTTTACTCACAATGTCTTATACATAGCAGACATTTAATAAATGCTTGTGGGATTGATTAGTTATTTTACAGAGCCTTCTTGACTTTTCAAGCACTTCATTCCACCCATAACCACTCAATTTACTCATACCTTCTACTTCAATAAGAGAAAGTTATTCTAGTTGAGCTATTGTATCTACCCTAATTCTCCACGAGTGTTACCTTCATGTTCATTCCCTTAAATCTCTGAACAACTGCTCCACTTGTGTCCTTGATCCCATGTCTAACTCCTGAGGGCTTTACTCCTATACTTGCACTGTCCCCATCTGGCATATCAGCTAGCCCCTCCAGTTTGGCCACTGCTTTCAAACACAGAGAAATCTTTCAACTTTGCAAAGATCTTAAATTTGGCCCTTCTGCTCCAACCAGCTTCCATGTTATTTGTCCCTTTCCTTCCACTTTGAAACTTGAAGCTAGTAGTGTGTACTATTTGTCATCAGACAGGACTCTGTGGAAAGCTCCCTCTTTTCTCCTTCTCTATATCTCCTAACTTCTTGATATCATCCACCTATACTCTCCTCTTTTAGTCTGTAATAAAGAGGTATCCCATATTCCCACCAACACAGCCATTCTACATAATAATAGCTAACAGTGACATATAGCTTTACAAATATTATTTTATTTGATCCTTACAAGAGGTAGATACCATTATTTGCAGATTTTGTTTTTGTGAATTCACCTACTCCCTAAACTTTATTTGTAAATCCCAAATCAATACTTGCAGAACTTTCATGTCATGCCCAGAGTGGTAAGAAATTTGAGTCACCCAAAATACATATTCCCAGCTAAGGTCGAACAATAAGATGCTCTCTCTTATGTCAGTTCTCACATTATAAACAAGTTTCCTTTTCCAGATCTATTTAGTGCAATGATTTTTGCATTTTTGGTGCTTTTTTGTTGGAGATTGTGCTGTATAAAATAGCCCTCAAGTATAGTGCTTAAGTGCTATCTGGTGTTTCTAAGTGTAAGAAGGCTATGATATACCTTACAGAGAAAATATATTTGATAAGCTTCATTCAAGAATGAGTTACATAGTGCTATTGGTTGTGAGTTCAATGTTAACAAATTGACAATACCGTACATCCAGAAAATGGAAGAAGAAATTGCTAATTTGTGTATAAGGCAAAGTCAATGTTGTGACCAGAGCTCAAAGGAATCTAACCCTGTGTTTCTCTTAGAAACAATGGTTCAGTATTTGTTAGTTCAGTGTTCAAGGTGACTTTATAGAACATAACTACCGTGAATTATGAAAACTGACTGTACTATTATCATCTCCATGTTACTGATGATGAAACTGAGGTAACAGAGGATGAGTGACTTGCCCAGGATCACACACTAATAAGTGTCAGAGTCCAGATTTGAACCCAAAAGACTAAATTGTTTCGTAGACTATTCTGTAGATTGTTTTAGCAGAATATTGGACTGAAACTTTTATTTCATCAGCGTAATTGCTCCCAGTATGGAAATTCCCTTCACTGTTACAGATCATCAACTCCTCCATAACTTAAAAGTTGTGTTGGGGCATTGAGACATTAATTGACTTATATTTGAACATACAACTAGTATCTATCAGAAGCATGGCTCAAACTCAGGTCTTCCCTACTTCTGGACCAGAGCTCTCTCCACTGTATCACTTGTACTCTAGATTCTATCCCCTCCAATCTTCTCCAGCAGATTGCTACCTCAATCATCCTCTTTATTTCTAATCTTCAATCTCTGCTTATCCACTGGCTTCATCCCTGCTGCCTACAAACATTACCTCCCATCCTTTAAAACAAAACAAAACCTTCACTAGACCCTTCAATTCCCTGAAGCCATCATCCTATCTCTCTTTTCTTTCTCAGGCATTCTACACCCCTTACTTCAACTTCTTATCCTCTCATTCCTCAATCTTTGCCAACTGCATTGATCTTTATCATTCAACTGAAAGTGATTTTTCCAAAGATGTAAATGATCTTTTACTTGTTAAATATCATGGCCTTTCCTCACAATGACCCACAGGCAACCAAAATTCAACATGTCCGCAATAGAACTTCTTATCTTTTCCTTCAAACCTACCCCTTTTCCAAAATTTCCTAATATTGTCAAGGGTACCATCATCCTTCTAGACATCCAAGTTCAAAACCTCAGCATAATCACTGACTCTCACCCACTCTCCATATATCCAAATCAGTTGCCAGATCTTGTCAATTCTACCTTTTAGAACATGTCTCTTTTAATAAGTCCTCTTTTCTCTGCTTACACAGCTTTTATCTCTATTAAACTATTAGAAAACCTCCTCATTGGTCTCACCCTCAAGTCTTTTCCCATTCCAATCAATCTTTTACACAGCCACCAAAGTGATCTCCTAAAATACACATATGACTAAGTCACACCCTACTTCAAAAAGTCCACTGGTTCCCTATTACCTCCCAAGTTTCAATATGAATCCCCGTCTTTGGCATGCAAAGCTCTTCACAGAATCAGACATGACTGAAACAAATGAACAATGAAACAATACATGCAAGGAAAGGAAGCAGAAGGAAAAGGTGGTGAATCAAAGGAAGTTTGTTTATAACAGGACAAGCAATTTATTCACCAGAGTGAATTGAGCAGGACGAGAATATGGCAGTGAAACTGTGTGTACCTAAAATGGTAATTGTGTATCGATATGTTCATATTGCTTCTCTGGCCAGAAAAGTCCAATACAGCGCATGTATTGCAATACAAGGCATATAAAAGCAATGGTAGTGGCAGTAAAGGACATCTCACCATTTTGCTCTTATAGCTTACCAAGAATCTACAAAAAATTTACCCTAACTGTGAATCAGTGTATGGAGAGAAAGTGTTTGTCAAGTGTATACAGAATAACTGAACAGAATGAATCCAAATATTCTATCACATAATATCTGTCAGTTTCATTTCACTGATTATCTGGCAGATTTTAGCTACCTTGTTTACCCAGCTGATACTCATATATACCAGCATATAACAAAACTGGATCAAAAAGATTTATGTGCTTCTCTGTCAGTAGGCCCAACAAAACAACAAATAACTAATTTCAAGGGATTGGGGGTGGAGGTGCTGAGGATTATGGAAAGATGAGAAAAAAAAAGGTGTGATCAGCATACTATAGCAGAAATCAACTATAATACATAGTATAATACAGTAGTATTACTTCCATTTTGTTACAATCTAGTCTCAGGTTAAGTGCATTTAAAAAAATCTGGTTTTGTTCCATAAAAGTCTCACTCCCTATCCTCCCTTTTTCCTTCCATATAAAAATACAGATATTTTCAGGATTTTTTTAGTAAAAATTTCCTTTTGTGAGTTAACACTTGTTTAAAGTCCTTCCTGCTATTCATGTCTGTTTCACAATACATTCACCATACTTGCTCTTCTGAGGCAGATTTCCAAAGTTTAGTTATGTCCAAGGCAAAAACTCAAATGCTCTTCAATTCAAAAAAAGTAAAATAAATACTGAATGTTAAAGAAAGATGAATTGAGCTCATGGACAAATCTTTTATTTAGAAGGATCTTCCCATTTTAAAAACTGACAAGACTGAAGTATAGCCCTACAGAAAATGCTGAAAATATACTTGTTTAATGATCCATCACAGATCCAAAGTAATAATTCATTTATCTATCTCTTAATTTTGTTAAGCCTAATCACTCCATGATAGTCACAGTATATTTTTATATTTAAACACATTATTAGAATTATAGAATCACACAGAGAATTGGAAGGGATTTCCATATATCACCTTGCAACCGCTACCCTTCCAAACATTAATCCTTTCTGTAACACCTGTCCAAAATAAGTCTCTAACTTAAAAACTTACAAAGATGAACAATCATACTACCTTCTAGGACAGCTCTAAGAATCAGGACGTTTTTTCTTTTGTTGAATGGAAAAATATGTTCCCTTAAATTAGGGCCATGTAATCCCTTCTTCTATATTTTAATCATTTGAATATGGCTATAATATCCTAATAGAGAACTTCTCACCACACCACCCATCTCCAGTCCTTTTACAAGCTATCATCCCTGACCCGGTTTCTAAAAATGTAATTTGTCAACATAATTAAAATGTAAGTTCCTTGAGAATAAGTATTATTTCACTCTTTGTATGTGTATCCCCAACACCTTGCACAGTACTTGGCATGTAATAGGCACTTAATGTTTGCTGCTTGATTGACAATTTTTAAATGTGATGCCCCACAACACTGGGTACAACATAACCTTAGTTCTGCAGTACACTAAAGTAGCCAAGTC